CACATTTGCCCCCCTCCCCCCCCCCCCAATCCCTGCAGATACAAATGATCCAATGGGACCTTTAGGAAAGGTTCTTTTGAACCCTTTTGTTTTTAATGGTAAATTACAGCTTTACCATACTATTACTCCAACCACCCTCTGTGTGTGCACGTTTGCCTTTTTCCCTTTTTGAGTTTGTATTTCAAACTGAATGATTCATTTTCCTCAACTAATATAATTTGTTGTATTTTTGTGAGTTCCCAAAGAAATTACTTGAATGTTTGATTCTGGGTGCTATGTGAACGTTCATAAAAACTTGTTAAACTACAAAATGTTGTTTTGTGTATGGTAACAGAGTTCAATTAACAAAAAACACAATTCTGGATACTGTTTAAAGATTCTTTAGTAATTGTGTATTAAGAAGTGGTTTAAAGTTTGCCTAAGCATATCTGATAAGTGTTTTGTGTGAACTCTGATGACATGTCGCATTCTGTTTGTGTATTAGTTTAAGAAATACAAATGTTGTTGATTCATTTTTAAATTGGAACAAAATGAATTTAATTCTCTTCCTACTTGGTCTGCAGGTGTCTGGCTCCTTCTACCAACTGACTGAAAAAGAAAAACCTGTTTTTGCTTGCTGAAAATTCCAACCTGCTTGTGTCTCTGGCTCACAACTTGAGGCACAGCTTATTTCTAATTTCAGTCTCCAGCTTGAAGGGACCTGGCAGGCAGTAATGGCCAATACAAATAGTTTTTTAGAAAAGAAACATGAAACTTTCCTTAGGAAACATATTTTGTTTTCCATTAAACAAGACAACAGAAAAGGGATTATCCTACTTGGCATGCCACAATGTTCTCATGACAGTCGTTATCCTGTAAGGAAGGCTTATGTTTAACATAATTTTGGAGGAGCACAAGTCCTTTGATTACTACCTTCACTGTTGTTTCTTCTGTCTCTTCATAATCATTAGTGAGGTTATCATTTCCTACAATGAAGCAATGCTTCTTTGGAAGATGATACCGACGATCTGTCATCTCTACTGTGGCAAATGTTCAAACTTTCCATTCTTACTTTTCCTCATTGGCAAGAATCCCAGACTTGCTTTCTTAAATCTGAATTGCTGTTTCTCCTGCAGTAACTAATTTAATTAACAGAAAGCCTTTTTAGCTTACCAACACACACTATACTTGTCATAAGAAAGCCAATTTTTAGACACAAACAAAATTGGTCTGTGCCTTAACCAGCTGTTGACAACCCTTTTTCCAGATCTAAAAAAGGTTATGCACATAATTTCTTGATTCTTTTTAATTTGGAAGTAAAAATATTTTACCAAAACTAAGAGAGAGAGAGAGACAGAGAGAGAGAGGTGGGAATAGGACTACCCAGAAAAACATGTAGGGGAAGAAATCAGCAAAAACACATGGAGAAAAAGCCTTCTTATCACTGGTGTTGCTACCTGCACAACATTTGGCTCCAAGGAAATAACAGAACACCTCTAATAATATGAACATATATAGACAGGTGCAGCACAACAAACAGTAAGTTAATGCCTTATATAGCCAGTGAAACAACTATGTTGCTGTACTTCCAAAGAATCTTCCCATCTCTAGACTTCCAAAAAAGCAGAAGGGAAATGCAAAGTTGACTAGAAGGACTCCTCCCCTCCCCTCTCTTCATTGTCCCATCTATCATCTGTAACAGGAAAGCAGTGCAAGCAGGAAGCAGGTATAAATACAGTATGCCTTACATTTCTCAGAAGGTTATTCAAGATGGCTCAGTATTATCAATGCTGATTAATTTTCTAGAGTTTGGGGCAGAGTTTCATTTTGTAGAGTACAACTGGTAGTTGCACAACTGTAGTTTTTCCTAATCAAAAGCTACTGGTAAGGAAAAGCTGTAAGACCAACCATGAGTAAGATCTCAAAGTTGGAATAAATCAACATTCTCTCTAGATAACATCATGGATGGGACCACCACCATTTCAGGAAAAAGTCGTAATGCTACAATACAGCTTTTGATGCAGAGATTCTGGACTCAACACCTGGTCTCTCCAGGTAAGGCTGAGAAAATTTTTGTCTGAAACTCTGGAGAGCTACCACCAGTTACTGGAGAGTACAGAGCTAGATGACCAAAGAACTGATTTCATAAAAGGTGGTTTTGTATGTTCACAGATTAGCCTGAACAATCAATGCCACTATCTGCCCAGAAGAGACAGAAAGCACATCCTAGGAAGGTTTCTGCATACCAAATGTCTCTAGATGACACAAAAGCCTAAACCACATTATACAATTCTTTCGAGTAGATAGAATATTTTCAATGTTAAGTTTGTTTGGTTTTTTTTTAGAAAAAGCTGCAATGTAATGATAGAGCACCAGATTTAATTTTTTAGGAGGATGTGGGAAAGACATTTATTTGAAAACCCAGATGGAGTGGGCATTTTGAAAGCAGGTGCAAGTTTCTTTACATTTCACCTGCCCAAATTCCCTTCCTGACAGGATTACTATGGCATGATTACACTGAAAAATACCTCATTATTTTCCAATCAAATGTACCATGTGGCACCTACATTCTAACTCTTACATGGATGTTATTTCATATTGTTCCATCTGGAAATTGAGAATCATTTAAACTGAGCAACTTATCGCCAGGGCTGGGAGATATTTGACATGCTTCTACAAACCTCTCTTTGCTGTGGTGTGGGAAAAAAAGTCCAACCTGCATGGCAACCAACTACATTTGAGCCAGTGTTCCCCAGTGGTATGTCCAGATTATGACTGGAAAATCCAGGTTTAAATCCCCATCCAACCATGAGTGAAGTTGGGCCAGTTATTACCTCTCAGCCTGTCTTCACAGGGTTATTGTGAGACTAACTGTTGCAAGAAGTGAGGGGAATTTATAAATGCCACCTCAAGCTTTGAAAGGAAAAAAAGTTAAGTCTCCTTTCAGTTGAGCTCAAGTCCTGATGATTTTTTGGCAACAGTACAGATGTAATTTGCCATTGCCTTCTTTCAGGATGGTGTTTTTTTCAAATTCCAAGTCTCGCCTACCATCCTGGCTTTTCCTGGTGGTCTCCTACTAAAGCACAAATCAAGCCCAACCCTTCCTACATTTTCTAGATTAGCCACGTTTCCACCTAGCTGAAATAAAATAAAGCCCCCTTTGCATAACTCCTGCTGACTTCACGGACATATTCATGAATTTCTTTTAATTATAATATAGAAGCTTCAGGTCCCGGCCCAGCTTTCAACCCTGCTATTTTTCTGGTGATCTTCCATCCAAGAACTAATCATCCCTATCTAGCTTTGTAGGTGACAAAATGAATGTTGAAACATCACAATGCAAGATCCACCCTTTCTTTCTTTCTTTCTTTCTTTCTTTCTTTCTTTCTTTCTTTCTTTCTTTCTTTCTTTCTTT